TATATATTAATATACTTTTACAAAAATATAAATATATAAGATAAGATATATGTTTCTAATTAATATACTTATATTTTTGTAAAAGTATATTAATATATAATAATTCATATTTATCAAATTATTAGTTTATCTATAAATATACTAATAGTATTATTGATATTAATTTATCAGTAATATCATAAAAATAATAATATATAAATTTAATTTATTTAATAATAATAAATATATATTATTTGATATAATAATGAAAATTATAATATACGTTAACTTGAATACGTAAATAATTGTATATTTTCAAAACATTATATGTATATATATTAAAATTATTAAATTTTTAATGGGAAAGACTAAAATGACACAATTATGATATTCGAGGGACTAAAATTGTTCAATTAAAAATTGAAAGACCAAAATCGCACAATTGTAATCTTTAAGGGACTAAAATTACCTAATTAAAACTTTAGGGATCAAAATTGCACAATTACAATATTTGAAGGATCAAAAATGTAATTAAGCCTAATAGTTTTTAGTATTAGAATGTAAAATGGTGACATGACTAAAAAAATATCAGATAACATAAGCTTACGTAACTGTACCAAAATCTTCCAAAAAACTGTTGAGTACCGTAGTTTTTTTTTCTTATATACTTACAGTGTGTAACAAGTGCAGTAGGGACAGAAGAGTCAATTGAAGATACTACTCAGCAAAGACACCTGACATCAGATTCCAATCATCAGGGAGTGAGGAGGGGCACAAGAATCAGAATAACTAACTCTAGGTTGCATGATTTTGATTGGTACAATACAGGGTCTAGTATATATATTCTGTTTGTTAAGGAGAGAGAGTAGGAAGGATTGATTCTGTTTTCTTCTCTTTGCGTTTCTTTTCTGCTGGTGCCATGTTTGTTTCTTCTTTACGTAATTTTGCTCTATAAAGCTACTGACTGTGGCTCATAGATACTCATTTTCTGAGTATTTCTTTAATATCATTCAGAGCAGTATTTTCTCATTCCAATTTCTGGTGCATTGGTTTGTTAATTACCCTGTTACATTGGTGCTTTCATCCACATGGCAAAGAATACTCACCTTAAAGAACTTACTGCTGATGTTAAGCGAATCCTGGAATTAATGGAGACATGGCATAAAGAAAATGCCACTAGATTTGAGACCCTGGAGTCTACCGTTGATACATTGTTGTAGTGGATCTTCAAGGCCGAGCAATTTTTTTGGTATTACAATACTCCTGATGATCATAGATTAACTATTGTTGCCATACATTTAGACAAGGAAGTGGTACCTTGGTATCAAATGATGACTTGTCATGATTCATTTCATTCATGGGTT